ATGAAACATTACATACCAATTATTTGCGAATTTTGACTCAGGAGCTCAGGCAGAAGGGTTAAAATTGTTCAGGTATACAGAACTCAAAGGGTTAGTCTAATGCAGAAACACAATCAAACAAAAATAGATACTACACTCTTTACCTACCTCTCCACAGTGCTTTAATGTGGGGTGCCCATATACATATGTATACAAAGGTCAGTTGAAAAGTTCATTGGCTAACCAAGATATAAATGTAAGCAGACACATCAGTTGGTACACTAAAAGACATTAGAGTGGTAGCACCTGTTAGGATCTTAGCTATGGGCTGAGTGTGAACCCCAAAACAAAACACTATGAAACTATAAAAATACATTTATATAGTAAAATTACTGGCAATATATTTTATATAAAAAATTACCAACAATACTGATTAATAGTAAAATTACCATCAATACATTTTATCTATAATTGAAGACGTACAATTACATTCAAAATATATTTAGTTCGAGCCATAAAATTGTGTTCAAAATATTTAAATTTCAGCATTAATGAACATATAAAGGCTGATATGCCTCTAAACAAAATCAACCAACCAACATTCAAGTGTACTAGCATGACCAGCTGTTGTATTCTGGTACACTTGCTTGTCTTTTAGTGTACCAACTAGTGTGTCTACTTACATTTATATCTTGGTCAGCCTATAAACTTTCCAGCTGACCTTTGTAGCTCAAAGACAAAATTAATGTAACTCTGTGACCACTTACAGACTGATGTTGGTATCAGTGACATTGTTATATTAAACATTTGGTAGGGAGAGAAAGAAATAATGAGAATTAGATTTGAACAACATTTATTGTTGGTATGTTGTACAGAGATGTTGAAGGATGTTTGGAATGTCCATTTCAGTGGCTGATCATCAGGATGGCGATTGGGTGTAAGGGAAGTCCCAGGAGTTGAACTAATTCTTGTGTGGTTTTGGTGTGAGGTCACATGATATGGTTGGTGCATGTTGGTTGATTGATGTCATAGTGGTAGACCATTTTCATTAGTTGGTAGGCCTGTTCTATGGGACAGGGGTGATGTTGAATTGGCGTGGTTGGTAGGCCTGTTCTATTGAATGGGGGTGACATCAGATTGGTGTGGTTTTGGTAAACTTGTTCTGTTGAGCAAGGCCACGTTGGTAACTGCAAAGGGAATGCTTTGTGAACAAGTCGGGTGACAATGTGTTATTGGATTGATGTGGTTGGTAGGCCCTTTCTGTAGAATGGGGCTGCCATGAGAGCTGCAAAGGAATGCCTTGTACATGTCAGTTATGCCGGGGTGACAGCGGTGGGTTGCTGAGGTGTTTGCGAGTGTTAAAAGTTGGGAAGAGTCACAAATCTGACTTTGCCAATGCAGAGGATGCAAGTGTTAAGAGTTGGGAGACAAGGTGTTGTCATGCTGAAGCTGGACACCCAAGGTAGCCACTCAAGTCCAGGAGCAACAACGGTCAGTGAGAAGAGTTGTCACGTTGAGAGGTGGCAGTGATGATGACAGTGGTGGTTGCAGCAGCAATAATGTCTTGCATGCCAGCCTGCTGGGCTGCAACTGGTTCTGGTCATTCTCAGAGACCTGTTTTTTCTGGTGGGAATGATTGCAATTGGCCACTGCTGGAGCTCGCTTCATAGACCAGACGTGATGCATGTAGCCTAATGCACAGAAAACAATCTTTGTTATTTTGTTCTCTGCCTTCATGATTGTATGCTCCTAAGATTCAAGTAGTGGGGCTTATAGAGCCTAGTACTGAGAAATGTTAGAAAGGAAGACATTTTAAATATGTAAAAACAGATGAAACACAAAATAAATGCTTTATTCAAATTAAATATAAACTAAATTTTTATTTCACTCTTTTAGTGGATGCCCTTCCGATATGGATGCCTGGGCCATCACATACTCTGCCCTCCCCTCTGTAACTAGTTGGTATTCATCCAACTTTTCCTCTTTTGTGCAATGATAAAGATGCCGCCACAGAGTTGGAATCCCCAGGACTAGGTATCCTATATAACTATGAGTAATAGAAAACAAATATTACACTTTAATGCCAGCAGGAAGGCTGGAGGGTTTGCATCTCTTCAAATGTTTACATCTTGAATAAAGTATTTTAATATGTAGGTAGATGCAGTCTGGCTTAGTATAAATAACAGAATGGCCAAACCAAGTTCAAATTCAAACTTAGATTATTTTATAGAGGTTGCCTGCCTCTCGAATTTATATTTAATATAAAATACCACAAAATATGAAACGATAACATTATATTTTATATACAAATAATACAATTGTTAAGAATAATTCCTCAGAGTTTTTTAGCTGTGTTTCAAAGTTCAGTAATGTCACTTGAATGAATTAAAATATTTAAAATGTTCTTTCAAAACAATGTCTTTTAGTAGTTAAGGTTTTCTGAAAATATGTATGAAGCTGAATAAGCTCTGTGATCCGCTTTTTGCACAGATTTTCACTAAAATCAACACTGATAAGAAAGTGGTAGCAAGATGCCAAAATTTATTTATTTTAGTTTTCCCTACATTTTGTTTCATCATCATGTATCTTGATAACCTGTTTCGTTACTGGCATGTCATGATGGTTAATAGCGAAGTGCGTATAACTGACCACTTGTATCTGAGTATGCCCATCTGCTGTGGTGACTAGTTACATATGCCTGCTTGTCGCGGTCGCCGATTATCCGCTCCTTACAAAGCCGACCTTGACCTTCACAACTCTCGATCTCGCAGATCTAGGTCAAGCAACAGGCCAGAAACCGGACGGCTAGTCCAATATCGTTGATGTCAAACCATACCTAGTACGCATCTGACTATGCTGAGCCATTCTAAACATCGGCAACCATAGACTATAATTTATTATCTACGGTACCTCTAGCCAGGGAGTACTTGAACAAATCTTTGCAAATATCCTTAGACACTTTTTTTTTTCCCCAAACTAGGCAGCTCGGCCCGGAGGCCTGGATCAAAGTGTAGTACATACACTACCTTTGTGAACTTCCGGTGCTTTTTTGTCGAGAGTGTTTCGGCGCGATCCCGTCTCCACGGTCGATCCGCCCTGGAAGGTGTAACACCTCTCTGACCTACCTCGCCTGGTGATACACTCTGGCGCGATCCCGTTTCCGCGGTTGATCCGCCCTGTGGAGTTGTATCACTAGTCTGCCTTTGGCCCTGTTTAGGGACTCCGTCTTCGCCTGGTGATACAACTGGCGCGATCCCGTTTCCGCGGTTGATCCGCCCTGTGGAGTTGTATTATTACTAGTCTGCCTTGGCCCTGTTTAGGACTCCGTCTTCGCCTGGTGATACACTTTGGCGCGATCCCGTTCCCGCGGTCGATCCGCCCCGTGAAGTAGCATCACTGGTCTGCCTTGGCCCTGTTTCGCCTGGGACTCCGTCTTCGCCTGGTGTGATACACTTTGGCGCGATCCCGTTCCCGCGGTCGATCCGCCCTGTTTGAAGATACATTTAGCATCACTAGGTCGATCCGCCCTGTGAAGGGACCTAGTCTGCCTTGGCCCTGTTCTTCGCATTTCGGCCGAACCAACTACGTTCGCCGACCAATCCTAAACTACCGGGCCAGACCAGCTACTTTCGACCAGACCAGCTACGCTCACCTACCAATCCTAAACTACCAGGCCAGACCAACTACATTCGACCGGACCAGCTACATTCTACCGAACCAACTACGTTCGCCTACCAAACCTAAACTACCGGGCCAGACCAACTACCGGACCAGACCAGCTACAATCGACCGAACCAGCTACGTTCGTCGATTAACCAGTTTTCGGACCACACCGATGTAAATGTGTGAATAAAAACGACACTTTTGTTCATAACAAAAAACCTTTGCCTTTGTCCCGTCATTGTCTTGGCTGTTCACATTTATCGTATACTTAAAAACCTTGCGGGGGGCGACACATCGGCCCCGCAACAAGTGGTGACTTCCCGACGTGAGACAGCTGTTGATGATGGATTCGGCTAAAAGTGATTCTTTGGACATGACGGCTGCGATCATACCTCTGCCTGCATACCACCATAATGCCAAGAACTGGTTTTGCAGGTGGAATCCATCTTTTCAATGCTACGCATTACTTCACAGCGAGCCAGATTCGCGAATGTAATGCAGAAACTCCCATCTGATATGATGGACGAAATTTCTGATGTCCTCTCCGATTTGCGCGAGCATGAACCGTACGATCACTTAAAGGAAGCAATCCTCAAAGCGAACCGGACGTTCTGAGGAAGATATGATCCAAGAGATACTGCGGAACGTCACTAGAGGCGACAAAACGCCATCCCAGCTTCTCAGATATATTGGGAAAGCACAACGTATCAGAAAAGGTTCTTCGAGGTTTATGGCTGGAGCATTTGTTTAAATCTGTTGCACAAATCATCGCACCAATGACGAGAGCCACGCCTCTGGATGATTTGGCAGAATCTGCTGATCTTGTTTTTGCACAGTTCGACCACAGCGTTAACGCTGTTCGCGCCCCCGACATAGCGAAGCACGAACGCTACGAGCCTAGTAAAACGGAACGGGCGTTGGCCGACCTTCAACGGCAAATTCGGGAGCTCCAGATCTCCCTGCGCCTGCGGACGAGGACATCGACCCCATCTCGACGGAGACGAACCCCCAGCCGAGAACGGCGAAGCGACCAGGGTGTTTGTTGGTTTCATCGCACATTCGGCGATGAGGCCAGGAATTGTAAACCTCCCCTGTACACACCCGTCGGCCCGGGGAAACGAAACGAATAAACCGGAGAGTCGCGACGACTAACTCTTCCGGTGCCAACACGCAATGTCGTCTATTTTACGTTTGGGATCGACGGAACAAGTTGAAATTCCTGGTGGACAGGTGCGGCCATCAGCGTGGTACCCCTTCAGAACGACCACACCGCTAAGCCCACCCTGATCAAACTACGAGCAGCGAATGGTTCCGCGATAGACACGTACGGAGAAAGGACCCTTACTTTGAATATCGGCATGCGACGCGATTTCACTTGGACATTTACCGTGGCCAACGTGAAGGTACCCATCCTCGGCGCGGATTTCCTGGCGCATTACGCACTGGCGGTCCATATGAACCCTAGGACTCTGTCCGATACGACGACGAATCTCCGTGTCTTAGGTACCCCTACACGTCAAGGCTCCACAGGAATCAGCGTCGCAACATGCCATGGTCGCGAGTACTTAGATCTCCTGACGCAGTTCACGGATATAACGCTGCCACCCAAGTAACGGCTTCAGGTGACCATCAGACTCAGCACCACATCAGAACCCGAGGTCCTCCCGCACACTCCCCATCCGCGACGACTCGCTCCGCACAAACTGGCGTACGCCAAGGAGCAATTCGACAAAATGCTCAGTGATGGCATCATTCGTCCTTCCGATAGCCCTTATGCCTCGTTACACTTAGTGCCTAAACCTGGTGGTGAAGAATTTCGGATATGCGTCGACTACCGGAAATTGAATGCATCGACCGTACCAGACCGATATCCTGTCCCTCATATCCATGATTTTGCATCCGGATTGATGGGGGCTCGCATCTTCTCGAAAATCGACCTGACAAAGGCATACCACCAGATCCCCGTCGCTGCGGAAGACGTCCCAAAAACGGCAGTCACAACACCGTTTGGCCTATACGAATTTCTAAAAATGCCGTTCGGTCTACGTAACGCTGCCCAGACCTTCCAACGACTCATAGACGAAGTCCTGCGCGGACTTCCGCATGTATACGCCTATATCGACGACATCTTGGTGGCCAGTACAGACGCCGATTCTCACAGACAACACCTGCGAGAAGTCTTCCAGCGACTCTCGCACTACGGCCTGAAGTTGAACCTGGACAAGTCGCGTTTTCTTGGGGCGCCCAGCGTTGACTTTCTCAGGCACTGCACCGACGCAGACGGCATAGCACCTCTGCCAGACAAGATCAGCTCGATCCGGGACTTTTCCTACACCGACGTCCATGAAGCAATTGCGACGTTTTCGGCATGCTCAATTTTTATCGTCGGTTCATACCAAATTGCGCTACCATCCTCCAGCCACTGACGAACCTGCTGCAGAGAAGAAACAAGGACATCTCTTTTGAGGAGATGTCTGCACGCATTCCATACAGCGAAGGCTGCATTGGCGAATTATACCAGGCTCTCGCATATCAACGACGATCCAGAGACACGACTATTCCTGACGACCGACGCATCCGACGCTGGTGTGGGCGCGGTGGTTGAGCAAGATTTTCACAACGCGAACCCATCGCATTCTTTTTCAGCCAAGATGCCAGCCCAGAGAAAATATAGCACCTTCTCCCGAGAGCTGCTGGCCATTTATCTGGCCGTCAGGCATTTCAGGCACTTACTGGAAGGTCGAGATTTTACCATCTATACCGACCATAAACCGTTGACAACCGCGATGAGTAACAACTCTGACAAGTATACAGCTCGCGAGATCCGGCATCTCGACTACCTGTCACAGTTCTCGACCGATATTCGTCACATAAAGGGGAAGGACAACGCCGTCGCAGACACATTATCGCGAGCGGAAATTCAATCTCTTCAGACCGGCGTCTTGGGTCAAGATTCCATAGCCGCTGAACAAAAATCCGACCCCACGCTGCAAGACGTCCTTTCGAATACTTCTTTAAAGCTTGGGGAGTTCCCTGCATCCTTCAGCGACGACACCCTGTACTGTGACACCAGCCTAGCAAGCCCTAGGCCCTACATCCCACCGACACTTCGGAGACAGGTATTCCAACATTTCCACGGGCTGTCTCATCCAAGTAAGCGAGCTACGGTCAAACTTATTACCGACCGATTCGTTTGGCCCAATATGAATGCGGACATTCGAGAATGGGTTTCACGTGCATGGAGTGCCAGAAGTGTAAGGTCCACCGACACACTAAATCCCCCGTCGGCACCTTCAGCAGTCCCGATGCACGGTTCTCACACATACATGTCGACTTAGTGGGACCGCTTCCGATGTGTCAGGATTACCAGTATCTTTTGACGGTTGTGGATCGTTTTTCGCGGTGGCCGACCGCCATACCTATAAAAGACATGCTAACACAGTCTCTAGGACCATCCTGAAAGAGTGGATTGGAACTTTCGGCACGCCCCACGTTATCACGACCGACAGGGGGTCACAGTTCCAGTCGTCCCTTTTTCGGGAGTTTACCAACCTACTTGGCGCCAAGCACATAAAGACTACCGCTTATCATCCGTGCGCCAACGGCTTAGTTGAGAGGTTTCATCGGTCCCTTAAAACCTCCCTGGCCACTAGACCTGACACTATCAATTGGGGACGACCTACCTTTAATTCTCCTAGCATTGAGGAACACCGTAAAGGAGGATTTAGGTTGTTCACCCGCCGAACTGGTTTTCGGTACACCTCTTTGCGCTACCCGGCGAATATCGACGACTCCCTTCAGACGTTTTCAAAACCAACATCTCCTTTCGTCGAGGAACTCCGCCACAAAATGGCCCGGCTTAAATATGCAACTCCACGACAGCAACCGGTGAATTGTACATCCCTCAACACTTGCGAGATTGCAAATTTACGGAACGACGCCGTGAGACGACCATCACGCCGGCATACCAAGGTCCTTTTCAGGTTCTTCGACGCACCGACAAGCACCTTACGATCAAGCGCGCCAACTCGACCGACACCATCGCAATCGATCGGACCAAGCCTGCTTTTCTGGAGAAGCGACAGTATGACGCAAACCCGGCTCTGCGGCCCCCTAATGCTATTCCAGCGCACCCATCAGACGCAGCACCGCAGACATCAAACGACACCCCAGCGACTCCTGTGCGGCAGACCCGATCCGGTAGGAGGGTCACTTTCCCTAAAGACCTTCGTAAATATTATTATTATTAATTGATACGATCAATTTTCTAGGGAAGGGCCTTGTCGCGGTCGCCGATTTTTACAAAGCCGACCTTGACCTTCACAACTCTCGATCTCGCAGATCTAGGTCAAGCAACAGGCCAGAAACCGGACGGCTAGTCCAATATCGTTGATGTCAAACCATACCTAGTACGCATCTGACTATGCTGAGCCATTCTAAACATCGGCAACCATAGACAGTAATTTATTATCTACGGTCTTCTACTCCCTCTAGCCAGGGAGCACTTGAACAACTCTTTCAAAATATTCTTAGCCACTTTTTCGCCCAAACCAAGCAGCTCGGCCCGGAGGCCTGGATCAAAGTGTAGTACACTACCTTTGTGAACTTCCGGTGCTTTTGTCGAGAGTGTTACTCTTCGGCGCGATCCCGTCTCCACGGTCGATCCGCCCTGGAAGGTGTAACACCTCTCTGACCTGCCTCGCCTGGTGATACACTCTGGCGCGATCCCGTTTCCGCGGTTGATCCGCCCTGTGGAGTTGTATTACTGGTCTGCCTTGGCCCTGTTTAGGGACTCCGTCTTCGCCTGGTGATTTTGGCGCGATCCCGTTTCCGCGGTTTTTTACTAGTCTGCCTTTGGCCCTGTTTAGGGACTCCGTCTTCGCCTGGTGATACACTTTGGCGCGATCCCGTTCCCGCGGTCGATCCGCCCCGTGAAGTAGCATCACTGGTCTGCCTTGGCCCTGTTTAGGGACCCGTCTTCGCCTGGTGATACACTTTGGCGCGATCCCGTTCCCGCGGTCGATCCGCCCTGTGAAGTAGCATCACTAGTCTGCCTTGGCCCTGTTTAGGGACCGTCTTCGCATTTCGGCCGAACCAACTACGTTCGCCGACCAATCCTAAACTACCGGGCCAGACCAGCTACTTTCGACCAGACCAGCTACGCTCACCTACCAATCCTAAACTACCAGGCCAGACCAACTACATTCGACCGGACCAGCTACATTCTACCGAACCAACTACGTTCGCCTACCAAACCTAAACTACGGGCCAGACCAACTACCGGACCAGACCAGCTACAATCGACCGAACCAGCTACGTTCGTCGATTAACCAGTTTTCGGACCACACCGATGTAAATGTGTGAATAAAAAACGACACTTTTGTTCATAACAAAACCTTGCCTTTGTTGTCATTGTTTGGCTGTTCACATTTATCGTATACTTAAAAACCTTGCGGGGGGCGACATCCTACTCGGCCCCGCAACATGCCACAAATCCAACCTGTGGTTTATATTGCAACTATTCTGAATAGACCTTAGTTATAGTTTCTGGGAGAAAGCGCATAATCTGGAGTGATCAGTACAAGAATTAGTACACTCAAACTCTCGGTCACAATATTTTATGACTGTGCTAGTACAACCAATAATCATCAATGACTTCTGAACATTTCTGCCTACCAAATTTCATTCACAAGGCTTGGGTCAACCTGTAGCATGGTTTTACAGACACTTCCCAATTGTGCTGCATGCTGAAATCGTCTAACCACTCGGTCAAGTGATTTGACTTATAATCAACAAAATGAACTTTCAATCAATGACTGTGATAGAATTTAAAACTGCAATTTATTTACATTTTTACTTTTTTGCACGGTAATGTTTTTAGTGTGTCAAGATGTGTGTGAGTTAAAGTTCTGCGAAAGCATCTTTTCGTGGAAAGACCAATCCCATGTGCATGGGGGGACAAAATCACTTTTTATATCGTTTTTTTTTTTTTTTTTTATGTGCGTGTGATGATATGCGCTTTGAGTATCACTTACTTATTTATAGCGCTGTTCCTTCTGACTACAGTCAGTCAGCAAACTAAAACAGTTACTACGAGTACGGTTTTTATTTGTCTTTTACAACTAAAAATGAGCACAACCAGTTACATTTCAAATATAATTCGGAAGAAAAGAGATGGTGAGGAATTAACCAAAGAGGAAATTGAAATTTTCGTTAAAGATGTATCCAGCAAGAAATACGTAACGGAATCCCAGATAGGTAGGGTGTGTGTTGTCTAAAACTTAATCTAAGAACAAAATAATTTACCTTTCAGCTGTTATGAAATGAATGATTTATTCTTAATCTTTTCTTATTAGTGCTTTTTTTTAACCTCTTTGTGTCGCTGGTGTTAGTAAAAGCTTTTTCTTTCTTTTCTTTTTTACCATTTTTTTTAAACTAAAGTTACTGACCATTCATCCCGTTAAGCTCTTGGTGCAGTAGTTTTTTCTGTCAGTTCTGATTCTTTTAAAAGTGATTAATTTAAATCAAAATATTTCTGTCATAGAAATATATTTTCATTTCTGAAAGAACAGAAATTTTAATTTTTTATTCTTTCAGGTTTTTTTAAAATAAAAAAAGAGTAAAGAAAGATACTTTCATCAAAAATCCTTTTTCTCTTAATAACGACACAAAGATTTTGCCGGTAAAATTTTATATGTTTTTTAGTTTACTTATGTTTTTGCGCATTTCTTTCTTTTATCGTGTATATTTTTTAAACGAAATGTTGGAGTTACAAACTATTCTTTTATTTCAACACTTTTTCATAAAAACATCTCATCAGCGTCACCGTAATGAAAACATGCTCCAAAATCGTAATGAAAACAGTTTTATCGTCAAAATCTTTGTTATTATTAAAACTTATTACTAAGACTAAGAGGGAAGCTCAAAGTATTTTTTTGAAAATTTAATTAAATTTTTTACTCCTTTTTAAAACATTTGAAATTTAGCTTGTTTTTCTTGCGTCAGTGGATGGACTATATTTTTTTTTAGCATAGCAAATTTTAGCGTCTTTTTTTGCAGTTTTTATTAAAATAAATAAAAAAAAATAAACCCCTAGCTCTCTAAAAACGGTTAATAATGTTTGAAATTTCTTAGAAATTATGCATAAACAGTAAAGAAAGATAGTAATTTGTAGAAGAATTAGATTTTATCTCGCGAAGAACTGAAAATTCTTGGAAACAAAAGCGAAACTAACCGAACGAATGTTTCTTTTAAAAAATTCTTCGCAACTTGAATTACGTGGAAAATTTAGTTTCGTTTGTTAACACTCGTTCTTTTTTGTTTTTTTAATAATTAATTGTGCCAGAAAAATGTGTCATCTATTTAAAAAACAAAAATATAATACACAATAAAAAAATATTGAACGTGCCCTTTGTAAACAAACTTGTAACAATTTTCTTTTAACGACAACAGGTGTTTCTTACGTGTTTAAATGTAAAAACAGAAACGTAAACAATATTTTGTGAAAATACTATTTTCATCTGCTTTTTAATCGATGAGTAAAATTATTTTAATTTACTCAGGTTGTCATTCTGGTTAGAAAATGAAAATTGCCAGATTTTTTTTTTTTTTTTAGTTAAAATTTTTTTAACTTAAATACTTTATGAAAAATGTATGATGTTTGAAATCTCTCAGAATTTTTTAAAGAACGTCTAAGAAAAAAAGGCAGGTTGTAACTTAAAATTTTATTTTTAAACAAATTTTGGCATACATTTTCTAATTTTTTAATTTTTTTTTTTTTTTTTTTATACTGAGTTAAAAAAATACTAATTTAAGTTCATCATAATTTCCAATTTTCCAATAGGGACAATTTTTTTTAACTTTTCTTCCAGGTTTAGTTTTCTTGCAAGTTACTTTTATTTTTAACTTTACAAAAAAGATTTATGGCCCGCCATAAAGTTTTAAAAAATTTTTTAACCGAAATTAATATACAATGTTATATTTCAATTTGAATATTTGGCCTTTTTTTAAAATTCTTTTTAATTTTAGTGTTTATATTGCAACTAGATTTTGCCTTTCTTTTTTGCAGCTACACATTTCTGTAGTGTGGTGTAAAAACGGATATAAAATCTGGGTCAATTCACATCAACACCAAATTTATTGTCTAAATATTTTTTTGGTTTAGTTGATTTAGGACAATCTTGATGTGCTGAATCGAAAAATCATATTGTTTTTTTTTTGTTGTTGTTTTTTTTTTGCTTTTTTTGCAGCTTTGCTCAATCAGGTCAACTTTTTGAGCTATGGCTACATGTTGTTTTTTTGGTTTTTGTTTCTTTTGTCATGTCCATTAAAATGTCTTAATATGCAACTTATTTCACACAATACAATAGAACTATGTTAATTATAAACTTATTAATTTTATTTTTAACCCATCAGAAGTATTTTCAGCCAAATTTAGCTTCATAATTATTAAAACACGCCTCCAAAATATTTATAAACCAATAACACGCAAGAAAGTGTTTACATCTCAAAACACATCAATTATACTGTACAATACAAAACCATAAATATAAATCAGAAAGGTTGTTTTATTAGTCATTATAATTTAGGTCTACTGCCAAAATATTGTGCGGACATAGTAGTATGCATATCATGTCACTTTTTAGGGCCAATTAGGAATAACTAAAGTTATATAATTCAGGAGTCAATTTCTCAGGAATAACAGTATAGAAATCACGATGTTTGATCTCAACGAAAGAGACTCTCAGATTCCACTAAGGGCCATGTCACTCTAACTGCTGATATTCAAGACCTCATTCACTTCCACACACACTATCAAGAAACAAATTAGCAGCTTGGTGACCAAGATGAAGCTTGGGTGCCACACATGGCATGTAAGACATGTACCAAGTATCTGCATTGGTGGACCAAGGGAAGAAGTGTTGTGTAAAATTTGAAATTCCCATGTTTTGGAGGGAGCTAACAAACTATAGTACTGACTGCCATTTCTGTACTATTGATGAGACTGGGATCAATAGAAAGAACTGGAGCTGCCTCAGGTATCCTGATCTTCAATCAGCATGTCGTCCTGTAGCTCAAATTCCAATATCTGTCTTTGGAGAACTTCCTGACATTAGTGAGAAAGATTTCTCAAGTGTTCAAGAAGAAGAAAAAGAAGTGGTTTTCGACAGTGTTGCTCCACATTTTTTTCTCAAAAGGAACTAAATGATCTCATTCACAATCTCAGCTTCTCAAAAGATTAAAGGAAAAAAAAACCTCCTCTCTGACAGTGCTCACATCATCTTCTACTACAACAGGCATTAAGAGTATCTCTGATTTTCTCTGAAGAGATGAACTTGTTGTAATGTACAGATATTGTGCAGCTTCTGCACAAAATTGGAGCACCACAGTATGAACCCAAAGATTAGAGTGTTCATTGACAACGACAAACAATCACTGAAAAGTGTTTAGCTGCACAATGGCAACCAGTTTTTCCTCTGTATCCCTCATTCATTCGACTACACTGAAGGAGAAATATGAAGCAGTGAAATATGTTCTGGAGAAAATTCTTTATGGTCTGCATGAGTGGTTTATTAGCATTGACCTGAAGATGCTGAACTTTTTATTGGGACAACGCTAACTGTTCACCAAGTATCCATGCTTTTTGTGCATGTGGGATAGTAGGGACATTGCTCAGCATTACATGCAAAAGGACTGGTATGTTGGGGAGGAATTGATGCCTTGCAGAGCAATGAACCTCATCAATAAGCCTCTGAGGGACAGAGACGGGATACTTTTCTCACCGTTGCAAATCAAGCTCAGCTTGATCAAGCAGCTCACCAAAGCTCTGGACAAGGATAGTGGCTGCTTCACTTACTTGTGCCAGGCTTTTACAAGATTGATGGAGAAGTTGAAAGCTGCCATCATTGATGGTCCTCAAATCCATCAGCTCATCAGATATCCAGAGTTTGAAAACTCAATGTACAAAGTGGAACTGGAAGCATGGAAGGCTTTTTCTTGGCAACTCTGCAGAACTTGTCATCAATATGCTGATTGCTTTCAGAAATCTTGGATGCAACATGATCATCAAAATACATTATTTATTCTTATATGGATCAATTTCCTGAGAATTTGGGATCAATGAGAGCGAACAGGGGGAGAGATTTCATCAGGACATGAAAGAGATGGAGACCAGGTATCAGGGATGCTGGGATGCATTCATGATGGCTGATTACTTTGAAGAGACACCTGCCACTGATCATTCAAGAAGTTCAAACCCTGAATTTTGAACTATGATGATATAACATGCAATTTACATATAGTTACATCTATCAATGTAAACTATTCAATTTATTGAATCAATATTTGTAACATTTAATTAATAAATTGTGTTAGAAAACAAGTTTTTGTTTTTCTCTTAAAAACTTATTTTGTATGAGAAATATTAACAAAATTCAATCAATAAAGTCACAAGATCGGATTTTTAAAAACTCAACATAGCAGAAAAACATGACCTGATTGAGAAAAATGGAGCAAGCAAAAAATTATCCTTAATCATTTGGAAAAATATAGACAACTTAAAAAAATGCATTTTTGTTGCTCATTGTCATCAGTGGTCATCAATTTTGGTACAAAGCCAGTTTCCAGTTTGTTTAGTTAGCATTTTATACTTTTAGTTTTATTTACTATTAATTGAATCCCATTCAAATCTTTCCCTCTTTAAAACTTCATTTTTCTCAAAATAATAAACACTAACTACCTGAGAAAATGCATTTTCCTGTAACATTCTGTTATTTGACCTAACTGAATCTTAACTTTCTTCTTCTAAGTGGCTTCAGTACTCTTTTCTTTGTTTGTAATGAAAGTTTTCTGTTTCTTAATACTATGCTTAGCTTTTGGAATTCATCTTCACTATTGTAATATACCTTCTGATTTCGGTATCTCGTTTTCCATCCCCTGTTAATAAAACACTTCTTATTTTTAAATTTTTGTACTCACTTGATTTTGGTATCCCCAATTTGTAATTTGCATGTTTGGTTATTCCTTTTGCTGACAGCCATATATTTTGTCTTTTTACATTTGATGTTTAGTCCTTTCTTCTTGCTCTCCTTTATTACCTTCTGTAGGATTTCCTGTAGTTAACTTTTCTGTGTCTGCTATCAACACTGTGTCATCTGCATATCTGATGTTGTTAAGATTTTAGTTTAGTGATTATCTAATAATTAAATGTATCATGGGAATATTTTATAGCACAAGGAATAATGGTGGCGTAAAGATTA